TACGATCTCGTTGTTCACCTTCTTTATAATAATTTATCGACTATTTATAGATGGAAAAATTTGTTGATAAATTTTCATCAATAAATTTTAGGGTTAAATATGTTTTTAGTACCTAAACTATTGGCCGTTTCTGGTTTTGTCCCTCTTCCAAAATAAGGTACATTTGGTCCCTCATTCTTTAGAAAAACGTTCGTGTTAGTCCCTCAAAAAATTTTGTTTTAATAAAATCCTCGTTTTTACGTCCTCAAAACGTTCTGTTTTTTTCGACTAAAACGACGTTTTTTAAAGATTGAGGACTAAATTGTACCTTACTTTGGAAGGAGGGACGAAAACCAGAAATGGTCAATAGTTTAGGGACTAAAAACATATTTAACCCTAAATTTTATTGACGAAATTTTTGTTTTTGTTGATAATTATAAAAAGATTTTTTGTTGGTAAATACTTTTGGTAATTATTGATGAAGAATTTTCGTTGATAAATTCTACGACCTACTTGATCTTCTTTTTTCTCTCTACCTTCTTTTTTTTAGAGTTTCATTTTTTATGGAGTAAAGGACACCAAAACAACTAGACGAACCTATAAAGATAATAGAAACCTAATTGTGAACACCAAAATCTGATATTGCGATACCCTCCTTCGCTCGGCCACTATTCCTTCTCGCAACTCCAATAACCACTGCAGAACCTTGAGACATCACAATCATGAAATCCTCTACACTAACCACAATGTTGAAAAACACAAATCGCACAAAATCACACCACGATCATGAAATTTTATAGATGGAACATTTTTTTCATAAATAATTAGTAGCGAAAATTTTTTGTCAATAAATAAAATATAAATTACCAATAGACAAATCTGTCGATAATAAAATTGATGTTAAAATTTGCCACTAATTAAAATTTAAAAATATGTTGGTAATTCAAATTTACCAATTAATTTATATTTGTTAGAAATTCTGCAATGCAAGGATTATCCTCGATCTCATTCTTCTCCTCTTCATAATTAAAATTATCGACAATTAACCGATAAAAAAAATTTATCGTTAAATTTTCATCGATAAATTTTACCAACGAAATTTTTATCTTTCAAGTAATTATCGATAAATTGTTTTCGTTGGTAAATACTTCTCATAACTATTAAAGGAAAAATTTCAACCATAAATAGCACCATCTGGTTTATCTTCTTACTACTCTCCCTTTTTTTAGGGATTCATTATTTTTATAGTGAAGCACACCAAAACAACCTAGGCGAACTTGCAAAGAAACCATAACCCAATTGTGAAACACCAAATCCTGATCTCGTGATACCCTAATGTCGCTCGACCCCACTATTTGTTTCTAGATATAACCTTACATAGATCATATCTTGGTTGTATCTATATTGAAGGTTGAATAAAACTGCTGGTACATTTAAATAACTAAGTTGCATGAGGTCATCCACTCCATTAAGAATGTCGGGATTAGCTGGCACCAAATTATCCTCTTTCACCTTTAAAACCTGTGATAGGGTGGAGTGTACAGTTAATCAGACCAAAAAGAACATAACAGTCTAGAGAAACCATGTTGTTTATCTTACTTTCCCATCTGGCAGTGAAATACAGATTCAGCTCCGGAAGTTGTTATTATCTTTACCAGCTCCCAATCCCATTTGGTAGTTGAAGCCATAACTGAAGCTTCTGATATAATGAACTCCAAAAGTAAGACAAACAAGCAAAATATTTAAATTATCCATTAATGGGATCAAACAAACTCAATAAAGAAAAGACTGATTCCATTTAATATTAAATTATCTTCGTTTGAAAATTTTCAAAAATATTATCAAAGCAACAAGGAGTGCATTCTATTCCCAGCTGAGCATATACACAAGCATCCATATTGAATTGAAAGAAACCTAATGAATCATCCAAAAGAATCAATATAATAAATTGGAAATCTTACAAAAAGACTCAAGTTGTCATTTCTTAATGTTTTTCCATTACCAAATGTGTCTAGTATTGGATTAGTCTTTAATATCTCATTCTCTATTCCGCTTCCTCCACCAAGGGCAGCCAAGTATTGCATTGCTATTTTTGCTGTCTCGGTCTTTCCGACTCCACCCTCACCACTGAATATGTAGATAAAAGGAGTTATTACAAGTTTTAATTCAAAGTCAACTAAGGGCACACTAGGTTTAGGAAACCAGATTGATCACCACATTATGCTGAAAACATTGAGCAACAAATACAAACTTTTCCAATCAATGTACATCTATGAATGGAAAATGAGCCAATCACCTTAAATTCGGAGTGTCACCAACTTAAAGTTCCTTTGTTATATAAACGTTAACGTGTCAAGGATGATAGATTGGTAGGGAATAACTAAAAAGAATACCGAAGAACTACAAGGAGACCTAATACTAAACAAAATTACACGAAGCAAGTAATTAAACGACAAAACAAATTCAAGAACTTGGGATAACGTAGTAATAATGGGGAAAATGCTTCTTTTTTCGGTAATAAATACATGGATGTCCATAACCACAACTGCGTATGGAATTCCCAACCTTAATCACCTTCTCATATATTTCTTTGTATGTTAACCACTTGTACTTTTCTGCCTACAGAGTCACCGAAAGAAAATTCAAGTAAGTTATAAGTGAAAAATGGTCAAGCGATGTCAAGAAAAATTTCAGAACACAAGACTCAATCGGTAGTCAAAACATCACCTTTCCATTCAAAATTTTTTGGCGACAAAGCATTGGATATTTCTCAGCAGACAATATGTAATAGTACAACTCAGAACTGAATTGACTAATATTTTATTAATAAAAGTCATAAGTTTGATTGAGGGTAACATTGATCTGGATCAACACCAACTCCTAAACCAAGTAAAAGACTAAACAAGTACTAAGAAAAAACAAGAACATAAGACCTAATAACAAAATATAAAGAAAGACTCCACAAACAAAAGGAGTCCAAGAAGAATATCGGTTGCTCAGAAAAAGCAAATATAAGAAGTAAAAAAAAAAACAAGATACAGCAAACAAGAAAACAGAGAGCACAAATAACACATAACATTTTATAAAATGCAAATAAATCAATTACAGAGACAAGGAACTAGGTATGACTGAAATAGAAAAACATTTAAGCCAGTAATGATCAGTGATCCACCTTCAAACAAACAAAAGTTCTTGAAAATAAACAGAAAAAAAAAGAAAGAAAAGAAAAATAATACAAAAGACGACGAAAATGAAATCCTCTGCTTTATCTAATCTCATGTTTCCACCATAACACAATTGCAAAAGTTAATAATTTGGAAAACATAAGATAAAGAGAAATGTGATTTTCCCGCACTTCCTCTGCACTCATCAATTCAATTTACTGATTGCCGTTTATATCCTTTCAACATTTTTAACCCACTTTTAAACCTTTTATATTTATTATTCTGCTTTTTTAAAGTGTTTAGGTTTAGACTTATGTAGAAATAAAATTATTGTTGTTATCCATGTTACATAAATCTTCATGCAAAAATAAAATCATTCATCCTACATGTAAAAATAAAATTATTATTATTATAACATGTGTTAGAAATTTGTGCAATAAGAGAGTTAAAATAGTTAAAGAAAATTAAGAGGTAACATATACTAAGTATCAAGTATGAGTATTTTAAAGAGTTAGCATTATTATTTCCTACATGATAGATGATATGATTAAAATACTGATTGACTAAGGAGATGTATTATTTTATTCTTATGAATACTCACTAAAAAAGCTTTTTTATAACCTATTTGGATAAACAGTTTAATCAGGGTTGTATTGAATAAGTATTTATTAGTTAAAATTGTTTTTATATTGAATGAATTTTTTGTATAGTTAAATGACTTTTATACATACTATATACATTATTTTCATCAACTCGGACTAGGAGTTTAACGATACATAAGTGTTTAACATAAGATAAATCCAAATAAATGATATATAAAATATCTTATTTAATTTTTGGTCAGTTCATCTTACATTAAATATCTTAGCTTTTTTTTTCTTTTAAATTTATTTATATTTTTAATTAATAATTTTGGTTACTCTTTTTTAACCACTATAAATTTCTAAGAAATGCACAGTATTGAAAAAGAAAATAATAACAATAGTTTCGTTACTCAATTTCCTTTTTTCAATTCTCAGTTTCACATTTCTTTTAATTTCATATATTTTAAAAAAAATTATTTTCTTATGTTTTCAGATTATTCAATCTCATATCATATCTTCTCATTCAACTTTAAATACCATTAAATTAACAAAAAAACTAAATGAATAACTTTTAAACCTATAAACTAAAAAAATGTCTCTTAGTAAAAAAAAAAGATGTGTTTCTCTTTTATTTTCACAATCCAAGCTAGTCCACGTGGATGTGTCTTTAAATAATATATATATATATATATATATATATATATATATATATATAAATTCTACTCCAAATTATTGTATTCAAACATATAAAAAAAATTCTAAAAGATGTTATTGACAAGTAAAACACTAGTTTATTTTTCGCATACAACATTTAAGAGTTACTTACCACAAAAGATTTGAATTCTTTATTCACAAAATAAAAGCCATAAATTGAACCTACCAACAAGAAAAGTGTGTGTACGAGTTTAAACCACTCAAATAACCCCTTTCATAATCTTCTACCTTTTTTTTCTTTTTTACATGAAACCACACACTCTTCGAGACTCATTTCATTGACTTTGTCCTCTCTTCCAAAATAATAACAATAATCATACTTAAAAAAATTGCTAACAATGTCCAGTTCTACAACAACTTGAACACGTGTGCGAATACAAGTGACCTCAAGAATATCCCTCTCATATACTCAATGGCCGTTTTTGTTGCTATCTCACAAAAATATGAAAAGGGCCATTCATCCCAATAACACAAAGACACATCATAATAACGCCACAGCACATGCTAAACCTGTTATAAAAGAAAAGCTTCCCTGTTCGCCCTAGTGCAAGTGTTTCTCTGGGTTTCAGATTTTATTTTATTTTTCCAAAACAAACATTGTAATACTGAGAAGGAGTAGGTATAAGAAAAGGATAAATAAATAAATTAAAATATAAAATATAAAATGTTGTCATAAATTTCGCCGTTTTAAAACCAGGAAAACCTTCGAACTTCGAAGATTACGCCCCGCCGTCGATTCGTTTCTCATTATTCTCTGTTTTTTGTGATCAATCCTCCTCACACACTGTTCTTCCCACTTCCAAACAACCCCTATCCTTTGATGGACAGGTATGTACATGCAGTTTCTGTTAATCTCTTCCAATCTCTTTGTGCTGAAGAGTCGAATAAGTGTTTTGCATCTGATTATTATGAAAATCGCGTTGGATTTGGCGGCTTTTCAATTTTTTTGTTTCGGATGATTTTGGCTTACGGTGTTCGGTGAATTGCTTATTAGTTTTGGGAATGTGTTGAACAGTGTAGTGTTGGTGTGTGTGGATACTGAATGCTGGCAATCTCGTTGTATTGAGTGAGTTAATTGTTTTAGGTGAATGTGGAGGGTGCGTCGTATTAACCGTTTCTGATTTTCTTTTCTTTTCTCCGAACAGGTTTATGACGAATTGCTGATTGGTGTACTGTAAAATGCGTTGAACAAAGTGTTGTCTCTCTGTTGTGATAGGTCGAGGAGTATGAACATGGATATGGCTTGTGGTTTACCGCAGTCAAGGGTGTTGCACGGAGGTGTGGGGACGAGTTACAGACACAGATCAGTTGGTCAGTTAGGTTGTTTTGATTTTAGAGGGAGAGGTTTTGGTTGTGTTGGATTTGACAGCTCGAGAAGTGTTTCAAAATTTCGTGTTAGTGGAGTGAATGCTTCTGCTTGTTGGAGTAATTCCAGGGTGTTTACAGGTAGGGAGTTTAAATTTTTGAATATTGAGAGAAGTTTGTCTTGTAAGAATAATAATCTTTTTACGGGGTCTAGAGTGATTTGGTCGAAGTGCCAGGGTAATGACTCTTTAGCTTATGTTACTGGCAACGGTCGGACTGTTGATTACGTGGAAGGTTCAGGTGAGGATGCAGGATTGGAGTCTGTTTCTAGTGTTGAATCTGATGCACCTTTGGAAGAAGCAGATCAAGCAGGAAGAAAAGAGGGAGGGAGTGAAATAGGATCAGAGGAACCAAGTGTGGATGAATTGAAAGAACTATTGCAAAAGGCCAGGAAGGAGCTAGAAGTAGCTCAAATAAATAGTACCATGTTTGAAGAAAAGGTTAAAAAAATATCAGAGACTGCCATTTCTTTGCATGATGAAGCTGTGATTTCTTGGAATGCTCTTAATTCTACCCTTGACACCATCAAAGATCTAGCTAATGAAGAGCTTATGGCCAAAGAAGCTGTCCAAACTGCAACAATGGCTCTTTCATTAGCTGAGGCAAGACTTCAAGTAGCCATAGAATCTTTGGAGCCTACAAAAGAAGTTCCTGATTCAACACAAGGGTCTAATGAGAGCAATGGTGATAACGACATGGAGGAACATGAGAAAGCTATTTTGTTTGCTGAAGCAGATATCAAGGAATGCCAGGCTAACTTAGCCAATTGTGAGGCAGAGCTGAGGCGCTTGCAAAATAGGAAGGAAGAGTTGGAGAAGGAAGTGAGCAAATTGCAAGAAATTGCTGAAAATGCTCAGCTGAATGCTGTGAAAGCTGAAGAGGATGTTACAAACATAATGCTTTTGGCTGAGCAAGCTGTTGCCTTTGAACTTGAGGCAACAAAACATGTAAATGATGCAGAGATTGCCTTACAACGAGCAGATAAGTCTAATTCTAGTTCAAATGCTGATACGATAGAAACTACCCAAGCACCCGATGTTGAGGCTATTCTTGAGGAGGAAAAAGTGGTTAACTGTTTTTCTGGTGATGTCACTGTTGAAAGAGACAGAGAATTGTCAATTGATGATGAATATTTGGTTGCGAATTTATCACCTGAAACACTATCTGATAAAGCCAACCAAATTTTGGAAGATAAAACACCGTCTGATTATTTAAGTGATAATGAGAATGCCATACAAGCAAAAAAGCAGGAAACACAGAAAGATTTAACCAAAGATAGTTCACCTTTTGCTCCCAAGGCATTATTGAAAAAGTCTTCTCGATTCTTTTCTGCGTCATTCTTTTCTTTTACCGAAGATGGGACTGAGTTCACACCAGCATCAGTCTTTCAGGGCCTTATAATATCTGTACAGAAGCAGTTGCCGAAGCTGATTTTTGGGCTCTTGTTAATGGGAGCAGGGTCTGTATAAACTTGCTACATCTTTTTCATTCATTGCTGTCATTTATTTCTATCCTTCTAAAGCATTTTATCTGGATGAATATATACACATTATGTGATTGGCATGTAATATGTATGATAGAGTAAATCATTCAAAATACTAATTTGATATTTTTGAGCTTTCTGCACAACATAATTAAGAATATCTAAGCATAATATTCACTGGCTTGTTTGATTATTTTTTTGAAGGCTAAATTGCTTTTATTTGGACTTTGGACCAGGACATATGATATAAAGATTGACATGCAAAGGTTTAATGTAAAGATTAAACATAGTATTCAATAAACGGTGAATTTTTATTTCAGGGTTACCTTCTTTGCTAATAAAGTGGATAGGAATGCTCAGCTGCTTCCCCAGGCAGACGTTATCATGACCAGTGTTGAAGAAGTTTCCTCTAGTGCAAAGCCGCTTGTTAGACACCTACAGAAACTGCCCAAGAAAATCAAGAAAATCATTGCGTCTTTACCTCATCAAGAGGTTTGTTTTTCTTCATTCTTCCCCTTTAGTCTTGTGTGCTATTTTATAAATATTATATGACTATATTATACATCGTTCCCAGGTGAATGAGGAAGAAGCCTCCCTCTTTGACATGCTCTGGCTATTACTTGCAAGTGTTATATTTGTGCCAATATTCCAGAAAATTCCTGGAGGTAACTCATTTGCAATGTTTTCTTAGTGTTGAGTTGAACATAGTCTGTCAAGTATGGCAAAGTTGTGTAGGACTCTAGATGTTTTTGTTAGAATGTGATCAGGCACCAAACTCCACATATTTTGGTTCAATCAAACTTTGATGCTTAGATGATATCCACTCCATTTAGCTCATGGTTTGTTTGTTAGTATGGTTATGACCAAATTTTTCAAACTTAGGCTGGTCATGCAGAAGAGATTCAAGGTTTTGAGTGTGGTCAAGGATGAACTGGGTTTTGCAAGTACCAACACGTTCTTCAAATGTGTGACTATATTAAAAAACAGTTGAAAAAAATATAATAAATATAACATCTCTTAAACTTTTATAGATATTGTATAATATAATTAATAATCTAGCCTAGAAACAAAAGAACAAAAAGTACAATTTTTTGTAAAGTTAACCATGCTTGTGATAGTTAAACAACAAATAAAACTTGGCGTAGTGGAAACAACATTTTGTTGAAAATGATCATTACTAAAATGAAAAATCTTGTCCTGATTGCATGGTTTGATCTGTTGTTCACTAGTTCAAACACGGGATTTCAAACAGAGTTTCTTTAGGTTGACTGGACCAACTGGTGGGCTGGTTCATTTATCTTACCCATGTTTGGTTTTTAAAAAGTATGGTTATGGCAATATGAAACTGTTAAAGGAAAATTTGTCACTTAAGTTTAAACAGTATGCTTTTGTCATAAGCCTCTAACCATTACCTGGATATGTTAAATTTCTTTTAAAGGTATACTCAATAAAATTAATTCTCTTACATATTCACATATTTTTGTGCCAACACTATGTCCTCTATCTTGCTCGCAACAATGTTTAGGCAGTCCTGTTCTTGGCTATTTGGCCGCTGGTATCTTGATTGGGCCATATGGTCTCTCTATCATTCGTCACGTACATGGCACAAAAGCAGTAGCTGAATTTGGAGTTGTTTTCCTTCTATTCAATATTGGCCTAGAGGTAGGTGGGGATGGATTTTAGTTCTTATTCAGTTTATGTTTACTTTGACCATAACCATTATTAGAAGAGCTAAATTGATGCTCTTATTTGCTTTGTTCTTTTAGCTCTCTGTTGAAAGGCTTAGTTCAATGAAGAAATATGTCTTTGGATTAGGCTCTGCACAGGTGAGCCGGAAAGCCCATCCCTCCCACCTTTGTTAAAATTGTTCACCTCAAGTTATACTGTTGTACTTTATTAACTAACTGTATGAATAAATGAAGGTCTTGGCAACTGCTGTAGCTATTGGTTTGGTGGTTCATTTTATTTGTGGCCAACCTGGTCCTGCTGCTATTGTTGTTGGGAATGGCCTTGCATTATCATCCACTGCTGTTGTTCTGCAGGTATAAATAACCTAAGATTGCATGTTTAAGTAATATCTACCTATTCTGACTAGCATTAACTGTAAATACTAGGTAAGTGATTGCTGAAGTATGTTGTAGCTCGGATCTGTTAATAAACGTTTTGATGCGTATTACTGCTTAATAAAACTTAATGCCAGCAGCTGTATCAAATACACATCATTGAAAGGTTGTTATATGTGTAATAGATTATACATACATTCAAATGGTAAAAAAATGAAGCGAGCATTCTATCTACTTTTTATTTTATTTTTGATGAGTCTATTATGATGCAATAATTTCAGTGAACTTGTTCTGCAGGTGTTGCAGGAGAGAGGTGAGAGCACATCACGGCATGGCCGAGCTACTTTTTCTGTGTTACTCTTTCAGGTTATTTTGTACCTTACCCATCTATTTAAATGCTGAAAGATTTTCTTTTGTCAAATATTGTCCTAGATTTTAAAGAGAATACTGTTCTTGTGTCATATGGCTGAACTTTGTCGTATGAGTTTTATATATTTCTTTCTTTAGTATGCCATACTTTTGCTGCTACTGCTGGATAAATTAATCATGATTTCCAATAGCTGCATGCTATTGGATGAGCATATTATCTTTGCACTTTGCACTTTGCACTTTGCTCAGTGTAGAATTTTTGTACACATTGATGCTATACTAATAATAGCATGTTTTGAGAGACACTAAACAAGCATGTTCTTAACAAGCAAGGATTAAACTGTAAAATTATCATGTCTTTTGGATGTTGGGGCAGATGATTGGATGAATTATTTGCCCCTTGAGCACTTTTATTCTTATTTTTTTCTGTAGAGATCCTCAACAAGCATTCTCTACTTTGTCTGCTGTATCTGGGCAATTGTTATAGTTATATGAATTTGCCATTTTTGACATTGATTCTTTGTTATTAGCTCTTAAATGCCTTCTATTTCTTATTGTGTTGGGGATGCAATATTTTGACATAAACTTTTACTGTTTGTTTCTATTCAGGATCTGGCTGTTGTGGTGTTGCTAATTCTCATACCTCTTATTTCTCCCAATTCTTCCAAAGGAGGGGTAATCTTTTTCTAAGCCCTTGGACCCTAGGTTTGGTTGTATAGAACATGATTAAGCTGTGTAGACTCCTGTGAAGTCTGAGAGGCATATATGACATGAAACACTTAAATTTAACATGCAGAAAGAAGTATGAAAACATGAAATAAAAGTGCAAGCAGAAATTTCGGCAATACTTTTTAGTATAACCACATTGCATATGATGGGTTCTTTTTTAATTATTTCCCTTCCACTGACCTGGAACAGAATGTGGTAATTAATCACTATTTATAGGTCTGCCAATTAATTTTATATTTTATTTATATTCAGGTCAAAATGTGACCTTCCGAGGTTTTCGTTGTTATTTTTCTTACACATTTATTCTGTATTTCTGCCTTTGTTCTTCTGAATGCCTCATTCATTGTAAACACCAATCTATTTATTCAGGTTGGTTTTCAAGCTATTGCTGAAGCACTTGGAATGGCTGCTGTTAAGGCAGCAGTTGCAATCACTGCCATAATTGCAGGGGGACGATTGGTAAGTGTTCTTCCGAACTGGACTGTGAAATCTCTCACCAGTGTGACTGTTACTAACATGTCGTTCTAATAAGGATAACTGATGCTTATATTTTTCTACTTAGTGGAGGAAAATCCTCTATAGTCGCTATATTTTATGTAATTAAGTCTTGAATTGTATGCTTTTCAAGATATGCATTTACATAAAGCATGATGACAGGCCAACCTATCTATTACTTTGGTGTCACTCTCACATGATATATATAATTCCTAGAAATTGAAATATTTTGACATGTTACTTATCATGGTCGGTGGAAGTTACCAATAAGGTACCATGCATGAAATACATAGACTCAGTTGCTTACATAGTTTGAGATGGGTTTTGGACCATAGTGACTGAACTTGAGATCTTTGTGGAAGTTTCTATATGCATTTTCCATGCATAGTACATTAAATAGAATGACCATTTATAATATTTGGTAATAATTGTGTCAAGGATTCGAGATGGTAATCATAGAATATATATATCATTAAAAATAATTTGTTCATAGGACAAGTGATATCCTGTTGGGTTCATTTGGAAGAAATTGCAAGGTGGTACTTTAATTGAAGATGTAGAGTATGCTTTGTGCTGAGTGTCCTGTTCTTCTTCACAGCTCCTTCGACCAATATACAAGCAGGTTGCAGAAAATCAAAATGCTGAAATTTTCTCAGCCAATACACTCCTTGTTATTCTTGGCACAAGTCTTCTTACGGCCAGGGTATGTGATTGTCCTATTCCTTTTTATTCTTATCCTCTCTGTTGGGTTTTAACTGGTTGAATGGTTTATTCTTGTGCTTTTTGTTTATGTAGAAACAAACAACTTTTCATCTTTTAAATAAGGATTTGGGGGATTGATGAGGCCTGTGAAGGTTTGATTCTTTGGTCCAGCCATTGCCTGGAAACCGACTGGCCAGTTGGGTTGGTTCTATCAGTAGACGTTTATGGTGTGGGGTGGGGTGGACAAATAACATTTCACTCATCTTATTACATTAAATAAAACCGAGTTTGATACTAGGATGTATGGAGAGATTTCTGATTCAACTATGCTTAAACCATTAAACTGTGACCTAGTTTGTTGATTGGTCCAGTTTTCAAATCCTAACCTTTAAGCATTATTTTTGAGTTCATTAACTGGATCTTGACCTGTTTCTGTTTTACTTTAAATAAAACAGGCTGGACTTTCCATGGCATTAGGAGCCTTTTTGGCTGGTTTACTGCTGGCAGAAACTGAATTTTCGTTACAGGTTGAATCTGACATTGCTCCATATCGTGGCCTTCTTTTAGGGCTATTCTTTATGACGGTAGGTTCTAAATATCAGAAGTCACAAATTTGTTAATTGAATTATTTTATTTGTTCATGTGAAAATATCTATTTTCTTAAAATTGTTGTTATGGTTCTTGTAGCAAGATATATGGATACGGTGTTCTTAAAATATCTAACACTCCCCCTCAAGCTGGAGCATATAAATCATATGTTCCAAGCTTGTTACAAAGATAGTCAATTCTAGGTCCTCGTAAGGACTTGGTGAATATGTCACTTTCTGTGAGAACAATATCATCGACATACACTATTAGGTAAATACATCCAGCACTTGAGTGGCGATAGAACACTGAATGATCCGCTTCACTGCGAGACATACCAAATTGTTGAACAACACAGCAGAATTTACTAAACCAGACCCGAGGAGATTGTTTTAGGCCATATAAGGATTTGCGAAGACGACATACCAATCCAGATGACTCCCCCTGAGCAACAAAGCCAGGCGGTTGCTCCATATAAATTTCTTCATGCAAATCACCATTTAGGAAAGCATTTTTGACATCAAGTTGGTAAAGAGGCCATTGTCGAAGAGCGGCCATGGCAATGAATAGGCGAACAGAGGTCATTTTTGCCACTGGAGAAAAAGTATCACAATAATCCAAACCAAAAATCTGTGTGTAGCCTTTGGCAACCACTTTCAGACGATCAATTGTGCCGTCAAGGCCAACCTTGACCGCATACACCCACCTGCAACCAACAACAAACTTTCCAGATGGTAATTGGACAAGCTCCCAAGTTCCACTTTTCTATAAAGCACTTAATTCATCCAGCATAGCTTGACGCCAGCCAGGATGAGTTAAGGCATCACCCACAGATTTAGGAATTGACACAGAAGAAATGGATGAAAGACAAGTGTAAAATGATGGAGATAATTTGTAGTAACTAAGAACAGTATAATGGGGGGAAGGGTTACGGGTAGAGCGTATACCTTTACTGAGGGCAATAGGCAAGTCAGACTCATTTGCAGGAGCCGTAGGAGACATAGGAGGCGGCACTGGAAGTGAGTCATGAGGGAGACAATTGCGGCGACTATAAACCTGAAGGGGTGGTGGTGAAGGACGATCCTGTGGTGATTGAGAGTCTAAAGAAGGAGGAGACAAAATGGGTGGAGCATCACCAGAAGGATCACAGATAAGAGGAATATCAACAGTAACAGGGAGAGGTACAAAACTAGAAGATAGATGTGTAAAGTAAAAAGAAGACTCATCAAAAGTGACATCCGCAGAGATAAAATGACGATTGAGGGAAGAGAAAAAACACTTATAGCCCTTTTGTGACCGTGGAAATCCTAAGAAGCACATTTGTGAGACCTAGGAGATAACTTATCAAGACCAGGACTAAAATCATGAACAAAACATGTAGACCCAAAAACTCTAAGAGGTAATGGATGTAGAGGGTCTTGAGGAAATAAGATAGAATGAGGGATTTTGTTATCTAGGACGGAAGATGGCATGCGGTTGATAAGATAACATGCCGTGAGAACAACATCACCCCAAAAACGTGAGGGTACTTGACCATGAATGAGAAGGGTACGAGTTGTTTCAATAAGGTGTCTATTCTTGCGCTCAGCCACCCCATTTTGTTGAGGGGTATAGGCACATGAGGTTTGGTGAAGAATGCCATGAGAAGCCATGAAATGTTTAAACGGTTGAGAAAGGTATTCACGGCCATTATCACTGCGTAAAGTGCGAATAGAAACCCCAAACTGAGTTTTTATTTCATTGAAAAAAGATTGAAAAATAGAAAACAACTCAGAACGATTCTTCATGAGAAACAACCAAGTACATCTGGAATAGTCATCAATAAAGGTAACAAAATACTGAAATC